TTTCCATTCGTAGTCATATAAGAAGGGATTCATGGTTACCCAGTGGATTTTGGTTTATTATTTTTAAAGCAATTTTAAACACCCCAGTAATATATACTCCTTCTGCAAGACGTATCGCTTCCTCTATTCTTCATGGTTCCATGGAATTAAGTTCTTTAGGAGGTCAATAATGCATTTCTAAAGCTCTTTATAGCCACCAAACCAGATTCTTGGCCTTTTTCTCCCGATCCTTTTATGCTATGAAGTATGCATTAAAAAGCAGATAAAACAAAACAAGTGAGATTTTCCTGAATTAAGAAAATTGTTGCTTGCCAAACACCATGGAGGAAGGCTCTGTGAGCCCCTGGGGAGGAAAGGGCTGCAGACACCACTCCTCAGCACGCCTCTGTGAGCAGCCCTGACCCAAAAAGCTGTGTTTAAAAGCTTTAGAGTCAACTAAATAAGAGAGAGTTTGCTTTTACTCCATCCCTGTGTCTCCTCTGGCCTTATTAGCAAAGAACAGCTGCAGCCAAAGATCTGGACATTGTATTGGTCATTTATCCACTGCTCCAGGGAAGGCATTTCTGATGCAGGGAATGACAGCACTCTCAGTGTCAAGATATGTGTCTTGTAAAAAATATCTGCAATCTATTAGTGGATACAGCTAACAAGTACCTTCTGATTATACGCCATTTGACAGAGAAATCCTGGTAATGATGGCATGTGCTTCATGTAGGGCATTCACAGACTATTTAAAGGGAAGAATATACCAGCTCATGCTGCAGGCTGAGGTGCAGAAATAATGCTGATGCAATTTAGGTAGAAAAAAAGCATAGCCTAAGATATCATGACAACAAGCAGTACTTGCCAGCACTCTCAGAAGCCTTGTGTGGCCCAGGACATCTGTGAATCATATGACCAATGACAAAAGAGCTGGCATCCCTGGCTGCCTCTTCTCCTCAGTGACCTTCTGACGCTACCAGAGACTTCATACTATGTCCTTTTTAAGAGATGGTGATGAATTCTATCAGTGCTAAGGAAGGAGAGAATTTTCGCCAGTGAAACACATACAGAAAATTGTGCAAATATAGAAAATCAAGCAAATCAAGCTACCTCTAAAAGAGGTAATAGATATGTCCCTCATAAGGGCATAACATGAAAATGCCCTGTAAGTAACACTCAAGCTCCTGAGATGCAGTTAGTAGCTCTCTAGTAGGACTAATTGCAAACCTTCAGAAGCTATCAATTTGCTGTGGGATATAAAACAAGAGAGAGAGGAGGAAAAAGAGAGGGAGAGAGAAAGAGAAAGGAATAGAAAAGAGGCCCAGAAGTTAAAACAAGATATGAAATTTGACAGCTAAGGGACTGATCCAAATTAATTGCACTGATTGGGAATATTCTCACCAACTGTAACGCACTGGATCTGAGGTTAACTTAGAACAAAGAGGACACAAAAGGAAGAATGTGTGTGAGATATCACAGATTTCTAAATTACTCTTCTCCCCAAGGCAATGTATTTACTTGTAAAGAAGAAAGCAAACAAAATATACAGAGTGGGCTAGTATTCAGAGAGAAGATGAACTGTAGAAGATGATTTGTATGAGCAAGAGCAAAGCATAAAATCTCGTGCTTAACCTGAATCTATGAAGATTTCCAAAGAAAGCTGATGACTTTGGTGATTAAAAGTAAATATATTCTTGTATGTTTTGTTAGACTGAGGTCAAAATGCTCCACAGCTTTCAGAATAAAGCCAAGAAGAAGTTTGTGATACCTAAGGGGATTGTTAAAACATATAAAATAAATGTAAATGTTGTCTCAAAGTAGAGCTACTTTAATATGGGAAGGGCAAGCAAAAATCATAATTTCCACATGTGTTTATTTATTATTTGTCTTTATTGAAAGCAGAAGGTTGATGGAAAGTCAACTGCAGAAATTTGGTATTCATAGTGCAGAAATAAAGAAAACAGCAGCATCCATCCAAACAGCCCAAGTTAAAGACATCCCTGAGTGCACATGAAAATACAAAGCCCTTAAAAATTATTTCTGAAAAGTTACATAGCATAGTAAGTATAGCCTCAAACATCAACAAAGAAAAGTAGAGTAGTTCGCTAAACAAGGAGTCTAATTCTAAACATACTTTATTTTGAGAAAGAACAGAACAAGTGCTGAGGGGAAAAAGAAAATAAGGAGAGAAAAAAACAACAAAACACTTCACTAAACATTCAAAGGATAATGGAACTATAAACAATAAGCAGCATGGGTTCATAAGGAACATGTCGTGCCAAGGAAACGTGATTGCTTTTTCGATAGAACTGCAGAAATCCTGGATGAAGGATACACAGCATGATTTTAATAAAGGATTTAATACAGTCTCACTAAATCTCCCAAAATGAATTCAAATTGCTTTGGACATAAGCACTGTCATGTAAATTGAAAACAGGTTGAAGGATCACAAAGTCAGGCTGATGAGAAATGGCAGTGGGTTGCACTGTGTTGTTGGGAGGTGTGCAGTTGGTCTACTGCAAGGTATAAACTTGTTTCTTATTGTAATAACTTCATTAGTAAGCTGGAAGGAAAGGTAAAGAACATGTAAATGAGTTCTGCAGATGAAATTACAGTTGAGAAACTCTAAACTGAACAGAAAAACAGGCAGAAAACAAACCAGGGTCTAACTCAAAAAAAAAAAAAAAAAAGAAAAAAAGAAAAAAAAAAATAGAGTGAGAAGACAGCATAAGTCTACTTCACTAGTGAAAGGACAGCCCACTACAGAAAAACAAATATCTCATATGGGCAAAACAGTGACCCAGGCGTAGCAATAGGAATGAAGAGCAGCATACATATGAGGGTTTGGAGTGCACTTCATTAGTCACAAAGTGAATGTATGTTTAGGCAGCATGTTCAGTAATTTCACAAGGAACAGGGAGGGAGAAAATCCTCAGCACACAGAGCCAACACAAGACTTTAAGTGTTTACAAGCAAATACATTCTGGCATTTCAAACTAGAGAATAAGCCCAAGGGCCACACATGGTGTGAGGTGAAGGAGACTACAACACTGAAAGATAACAAAAGTCTAGCAACAGATTTTCTCCTCTCCGCTGAAAAGGCGTGAAGCTGCGTCTACACCTCCCCTGGAGGCTCTCACATCATTTTGTTCTTTAGGCTGTCCTTCTTTTCTTATATTCTCTCCAGAGAATTACCACTTCCTCACTGATGACTTTTTTTCTTTTTTCTTTCCTTTTTCCTTTTTTTCTGAAAGCCTTCTTGACTCTTGTCCCTCCTTCCCTCATTGTCTGTGTTTTGCTTTAGAGCTGTACTGGCTGTTAAAAGCCAACTTCTGAGATGTCATTCATTGCTTCTGCCAACGTGAGACAAGGAAAAAATGGTAATCAAATGTAGAAAATGATACCAAACTCTTGATAACAACATGCCATCTCTTCTTTGCCTCATGGGGAAATGCAAGAGGTGATCACCGCCGTCTCCATCTGGGCTGGCGTTGGGAAGATATATTAGGCACTCAGGGCCATCCTAAGCATGACAGTGCTTCCAAAACCTTTTGAACCTATGAACTACTGCCATTACTTGGAGTTTCCAAGCACTGGGAATAATGGAGTTTTCAGTCTTCCGTTGGGTTTCCCATATCAGCTCTGAAACATTTGCTATGGCTTCTCACGTAGCAAATTCATTCTTAATTCAGTTCTTAGAAGCCCATACTGTTCATGATTTTTAATTTCCTTTGAACTTTAGATTTTGATTAAATAATAAACTAGTGCAAGCAATAACTGGAGCAATGTTCCTGAAGATTATCTGTATCACAAATGCGGAGTGACTTTAAGCCCTGAACACCAGTTTGTGTCAATGTGCCAATCCAAATCAGATGAAATATTCAAACTTGGAAATGAAAAAGAAGAGGAGCACCATGGCTATTTTTCTATACTACAAAACTAAAAAGATCAGAAAGAATAGGAAAAAAATATTTTGTATAAATCATGTTGCAAAACAAATATAAAACATCTAAGAATTTTCTGAAATGCAATGATCAAAAGAATTTCACTGTGGTGACTATTGTAGAAAATCAGTGATGTTGAAAGCTGATGCCACCTAGCATTTGAAAAGTCTGCAAAGGTTTAACAAGCATTCATAAGACCTTCATTGCCCCTTTATGTTTCTTAACATCTGTAATTAAAATCATGTATAATAGATGAAATAGGAAAGGTTTTATTCTTTTCCCAAATTAGAGTTTCAGAAAATGAAAAAAGAAGTCTTTATATCTTACCTCTAGCACCACTGATTACTGAGATCTTTTATCTGTTTGAATACTATATTATACATAGAAACTTGTGAAGATGATCACAGATAATAGGGATCTCATGCCAAACACGAGATCCTGAAATAGAATGATTTGATGTGGATGGGCATGACTTGTGGTTTTGCCTTCTCCATGGCTTTATCCATGGTCTCTCACTAACAGCTACTCCTTTCTCCCAGGTTCATGCTATATAAATGTAACCTATTCTCCAAGTAATTCACCTTTAAAAAAATATTGACTTCTTCTGTCTCCAACAATCAATGTTGCTAGATATTCTATATATTGCTCTGCCTTTTGAATAAAACAGAACAGAAAAGCAGTAATGCAAGTATCAATCACATTTTAGTTTTCTATGTGATATAGATCACTTGTCTTTCTATCGCTAATAGTAACAGAAGGGCTGCTGGAAATTATTTTTCAAAACAAGAATAACCTTAAAAGCAAATCACTTTGGTCTATGTGAGCACCCACCGCTTGCCTTTGAAAGCAGAACTCAAGCTTCAGAGGGAGAGAAAGGTTAAAAGGGAGAGTATTATAATTTTAAATGTGAAGCAAGTCAGAAATAGCAATCTATACTCAAGAGCCATCATAAGCTTTCCTAATGGACCTCAATAAATGCAGAATCACAACAGTAATTACAAAAAAGTTCCCACTTTTATCATCAAACTTTGATTTTCTTTTTGAATTTCATCTTCAACCTTTCCAACATTTATTTACTGAGCCTGGTTCAGCCATATAAGCAACAAAGTTCAACAGTAAAAGCTTTCCATTGACTGGGGGGTTTGGGTCTGCCTGAAATAGTACTGGATCACAGAAATGATGTTCTCTCTGAACTCATGTTTTTCTAATCAGGTGATACATATGAAAACCCAGGGATCTGTAAGAGGACAGTGTCAACAGATCAGTTTACTGAGTGCAAGGAGAAATTTTGTCCTAATGCATTTGCCTAAATACTGAAAGAGAGTGTAGTGTGAGGCAGCCAATCATACTGTAGTTTGAAACCAAAAAAGAACAGAAATCATTTTGGATTATTTGCTCTTTTCCTTCTTCATTGATGAACTGTTGCACAGCAGCCCTGAGGAGGACTAAGAAAAGGCAACACTCATCCCTTCCTGTGCAGCACCACAGCGTGCTCAGGCTGGGAGTACTGCAGTATCACGTATTCTGTTAATGGCTATAGGAGATGTCAAACAAAAAATCACACTGAAGCATTGAAAGCATATTGATTTCTTTATCATAGTTAAAATGTCATGGAAAACCAACAAGAAGAATGTAGACTTGGAAACTTTTCAAATTCTGCTCTTTTTCTCTTTAATGTAGGAACACATTTATTGGTTTTCCTATAACCAACTTTGGCTGCAAAAACATCTCAAACTTTAGTTTTCATTTCTCCATCTAACAGAAAAAAAAAAGCTGTTGCTGTTTCCTTCAATGTGCTATGAATCTAATTGTCTGCTGGTGGCTCTCAAGGCTGTTTCCAGGCTGATGCATGAATTGGTGGGAAGGGCTGTCACTGCTCCACAGCTCCTTCAGCAGCGGCGCACACTCTGAGCTGTGAAAGCTAGCGGAACCGGAGGCGGCATCACAACATGCCAGAGCAGAGCTTTGTCCTGAAGGAAGATCTCACTGCAGGAAATAGCTAAGTGATCTGAAGGAATAAAGACATATGCAAAACAAACAAATGAAAACACAGATAAACAAACAAATTACACAGATTGCAGCAAATTTGTAATTGAATGTTTGAGATGAAAGAAACTGGGAAAGCTAAAGCTTCTGATGCTGACTTTCAGCACTGAACAGGGTAGCAGTAGTAAACTGGGGGCCATTCTGACAGCAAAGTAACTGTGCAGAGGCAACGAAGGGAGACCTTTGCAGACAGCAGAATGAAGTCATTGCAGTGAGGTGCAGAGGCCATCTGCCAGTCCTAAATCCGCACAGAACTGTGACCCAATCAGATAGGAAACCACTGGGGAATATCATTCTTCTGACACCCTTTTATGTAAAGGTTTCAGCAAAGCAAAAGTGCAGAAAAGCTTTCATCATTCCATACAAATAAGACAAGCTTCTCTGTTCCAAGCAGGGCTGCATGGCCACAAGCTACAAAACACAATATATATATATATATATATATATTTGGCCACTGCTGCTCTTTGTAACAATCCAAATAGTTAATGAAATAAGAAAAATGTGACAAAACTGTAAGCAGAGAACAATAATTTATGGGACCTTTTTTGTGTTTAGAAATCAATTGTCTCTGTTATAAACAGACAGACTGCTGACACTGGAAAACTGATGCAGAACTCAGTTCTTATCTCACCATTAAAGGACCACTGATGTAAACCAAGTGCTGCTTAACCTTATTCTTCAGGATGCATAGCTCTTCCAGGAATACGCAGAAAGGCAATGCATCTGCTGACTTCTGTCTGCTTCTCCATACAAAGCCAGGAGCAATACTCCTCGGTATCCTTTAAGAACAAGCAGTGAATTTATTATATCTGCTTGTAATGCCCTTTGGGACTCTTGAGGAAGAAAGGCACAGTAAATGTAAGCTCATTAGCATCATTAACTCCTTTTATACACCAGCTGAGCTCCAAAGAATCAAATGGGAGAAAAAAAAAAAAAAAAGAATAAAAAGGTAAAATATATTTACCATTCCCTTACTTTCCTGCTCTTTTTCTATTCAAAGACACTCTTGTTAGATAAAAAATATTATTTATTATCTTGGCCATTAAAGTCCATGAGGTGGCACATTGCTAAGGAAGAATAATAGCATAACTTATATTAAGGAGCATTCTGTGCAGCAGTGCCAAACTTACTACACCTGTTTCCAAATACTTAGAAAAATTTCAGGCTGCCCACAGTTACATTCCAACTCCATGTGTGAGAATGGTGTCAGGAGCAGGACGGCACCTGGGTCCTGAGAGCTTTCTGTGTGACAGCCATGGAAAGGCACTGCTCCTCAGTTAGAGTGGGACAGGATTCACTCCTTTTAGCCACTCTGAGGTCAATTTTTTTGTCCTTCTGGGGTAGGCAGTGTTCAGGGACACCTTCAGACAGTTATTTGCATCAGATATGTCAGATGTTCCATGCAATACCTGATCCCAGGAGCTTCACGCTCTGTTGAAGGCAAAGTCAGTCCAGCGAATGCCTTGATGCAATGCTTCCCTTCTGCCACTTGGGTGGGTTCGTGTTTGTCCAGCCCAGAAAGGCAACCGGATCCTCGGCTGTGTCGAAAACTGGCCAGCAGGTTGAGAGAAGTGATCCCGCCTTCCGCTCTGTGCTGGTGCAACGTCACCTGGAACACTCCCCTACGAGGACAGGCTGAAAGAGATGGGGATGTTCAGCATAGAGAACAGAAGGCTCCGTGGGGATTTGAGAGTGGCTTTTCAATACCTATAGGGGGGCTGTAAGAAAGGAGGGGACAGACTGGGTCTGCTGTGACAGGACAAAGGGAAATGATTTCAAACTAAAAGAGGGGAGATTTAGACTGGATATAAGGAAAGTGTTTTTTTTTTTTTTTTTTTTTTTTTTTTTAATAAGGGTGGTGAGGCACTGGAACAAGTTGCCCAGAGAGATGGTGAGTGCCCTGCCCTTGGAGACATTCAAGGTTAGGCTGGAGGGGACTCCGAGCAATCTGATGTAGCTGTAAGTGTCCCTGTTCGTTGCAGAGTGGTTGGACTAGATGACCTTCAGGGATTGTTTCCAACTCAAATGATTCTGTGAAATAAACTATAAGAAACAATCCATACAGAGAACCCTTTGGGCACTACAGCTTGCCTGTGCCCCTCCGTGACAAAGCGGCAGCAATATGTCCCTGATTTAAGCTGGCAGGTTGGCTCTGTGTGTGTGCAGCATGTATTTTCTGTCACTGCAGACTGACATTTTCCTTTGTTGGTCATTAAGACAAAAAGCCTGCAAACACACTCCTTGTGCACAAGGTCGCAACATTTGCCTACAAGAGGAGCCCACAGCTCAGTTAGATGCACAGCCATGAAGCACAGCTCCAACTGCTTACTGATCTCATAACAGCTTCAGCTCAAAGGGGAACAAGAATACTTCTCAAAGTGCTTCATAAGAAGAATGTAAAACTTTTAAAGGTGGTGGGAAGGAGCTATGTAGAGCCTCTTAAGGATGGAAACTAGAGACAAAGTCCTTCAGGCTACTTACAGGGAAATAAGTGGTGTATCCAACTTGGTTAAGCTAAAAAATCGCTTGGATAATATAAAAACCGGGGAAGCAAGAAGGAAGAGCTGTAAAGTTTATCAGACTGAACAAAGCCAATAAACAAAAACGTTAAAAAACGCTCAAAACGGGAAAACAAACAAACAAACAAAAAAAAACAGAAAAAAACAGAGCAGCCTTCGTGGGCCTCACCACCATCCGGGGATGCCTCCGGCGGTGTCCAGTCACAAGGGTGGTGCTTTCGGCCCCATCTCGCCACCTTCCCTCACCTACCGGAGCCGGACCCGCCGGGCGGCGCCGCGGCCACGGCCGGAGTCGGAGCGGTCCCACCGCGCCGCCGGGCGGCGCTTGCGCACTGCCAGGCCGCCGCGCTTCTCGCCCGCCTCCCTGGCGCGCTCCCGGCCGCCGCTGTGCCCAGCCGGGCTGGGCAGAGCCGGACTGAGCGGCAGCGGGTTGAGCCGGGAGAGCCCCGGAGCCCAGCGCCCCGCAACTCCCGCGCGGCGCCGCGGTCGCCGCCCTCTCGCTGCAGCCGGAGTCGGTAGCATCCCTCAGGGGTCGGTCCCGGGACTGCGCCCACCCCAAGCGCCGTGCTCGCCGCTGGCCGGAGTTTGGCAAAGCGCTCAAACACGCGGCAACCTGTTCTCTCCTGGAGGAGCCGGTGGCCGCGGTCACCCGGGTAGGGGCGGCGGTTCAAGCGGGACTTCACCCCACCGACAGCCGAGCTGCCCGAGGGAGGATGTAAATAGGCGGCACGCGGCGGGGCGGCAGCGCTGCCGCGGAAGGGCGGAGCCCCCGGGGGGGTCCTCCCGGCTCCGCACGAGCTACATTAACTCCGCGCGGCGGAGGCGGCGGCACAACTTTCGGGCTCTGCCCCGGGAGGCGGCAAGAAGCTCGGCTCCGCGTGCGGGCATGCCCCCCGCCGCCAGTCCCGCCGAGCCCAAGGGCAGCGGCTGAGCCCCGTCGCCTCCCGGCCATGCGGCCGCTCCGCGCTCCCCTCGCCCTGCTTTGCCCGGTGCTGGGCGCCTGGGCCGCCTGCTCCGTGCTCGCCGCTGCCGGCTCCGCGCTGCCGGCGCCTCCGCAGCGCTCCCGCTCGGCGCCGACCCCGACGCCGCTCGCCCCCCCCGGCCGCCGCGCGGCCGCCG